CAGTATTTTTTTCCATTATTTGGACATACCAGGTGCTCTGACATAACATTGCCTTGAGCAATTTCAACCACACATGGTACACAGATGACTTACTCTCTGGAAAAAAATACTGTGGGGATAAGACACCCCTAACACCCATTAGAGTATGTGTTCTATTAAGATACAGCTTGTTGTGCCTTTAAATGGCTTCTACTGTACTGCCGTAAAATGGATTCTAGTATACAGCACAGTGGAATTGCCATGGTAATGGCTTCACAGTACTCCACAAGGGAGGAAATCCAACATTAGAAATTTCGTTTGGTCCGGACATTTTCCCCTTATAAATAAATACCCAGGCAAAACCGGATTATCAGCTAGTTTCATATGAAAATGTTTACAAACATGCTGCAATGATCCCATGGTACAGGCCTATGTTTCTGAAACAGAGTATTTAAACAGACAGCTCTGACATGATATATACTTGAATGGGAGACAGTTATTGCTTTAATCAGGTAAATCAGATTCTTTTGTTCAGATAGGAAATGATCAAAATGTCAGGACGGCTCTCCTCCTTACAGCGACACAGCAGTTTGTTACACAAAATATATAAGCTCTAAAACAACCGTTTGCAGGAAAAATGAATCAACCAGATGTGTTTGTTTGACAAATTTTGTACAATGGTTTAGAAGTGCCAAAAGAAAGAAGTCAAGCCAAAAAAAACAACGAAGAAGGGGGGGAAAGTGGCAATGTTATTAGGCAACCTAGTCAGAAGACTACAGTAAACGCCTCTCTTCCCTGAAATAATACATTGCTTATTAAACCGCATAAACAAATTTTAATGCTAGCTCAACTGCTGGTAGAATGACTATCATCCAGGAGTTAATCTTCTATGAAAGCATCGACCTGGCATGAATCAGAGATTTGAATAAGAGGCGAGTCAATTTTTCTGTCTGCCAGGGCTGAAACCACCAGCTCCAACCAGCAGTCTGCCAATATTTTAATGTCCACTTCTCTTATTTATGTGGCTGGGATAAGAGAAGGATAATATTAGTGTACCATCTATCAGTCACACAACAGTCTGTTTTCCTGAGCTTGTCAGGGTGATTTCCGATGGGTTACTTTAAAATCTACATGCTGGATAAAAAGGAAAAGGTAAAGATTCCCCTCGGACATATGTCCCTGACTCTAGGGGGCGGTGCTCATCTGTTTCAAAGCCGAAGACGTCTCCGTGGTCGGCATGACTGAACGCCAAAGGCACATGGAACGCTGTTCCCTTCCCACCAAAGGTGGTTCCTATTTTGCTACTTGCATTTTTACACACTTTTGAACTGCTTAGTTGGCAGAAGCTGGGACAAGTAATGGGAGCTCATTCCGTTATGCAGTGCTAGGGATTTGAACCGCCGAACTGCCGACTTTTCTGATCGGCAAGCTCAGTGTCTTAGCCACTGAGCCACTGTGTCCCTACATGTGAACACTCTCCCCTTATTTATTCAGTCTTTATGCAGGATATATATTAAGCTGGATAGGAAGAGGATGAATGTGGTTTTAAAAGTGGAGGAAGAAACATAATGCATTATGTGGGTGCTACTACCCCAGCAGCTGAAAAAGGGGAAAAAATCTACAAGCTCTAGTAATAAATTCAAGAAACAGAGCGAAAACATGGGATTAAAATGTAAGCAAGGCCAAATTAATAATCACAGGTACAACAACCAGCCTTAGAGCTGGTAATGAAGAATGCTGAAGTGGTTGGATAGCCGCTGTACTAGAGGGGTAAAAACTGAATAAAATAATTTGTTTATAATTTATAAATGCCCTGATGAATCTAGAAGGCTTTCCATCTTTGATGCTGTCACAGCCTTGGCTATTGTGAGTTTGATGATACTGAGACAGAGGTCCCAGAACATCTAAAAAGCTTCTCACCCAGGAGGAGATTTCAACGTGAATGTCCTTGTTCTCATGTGATGCATCATTTTACACTACATTTGTCTTCCTGCACTGACTTTTGAAAACCAGGATTACACATGACGGACAGCAGCAATTAACACCAATGTTTTATGGATGTAAAATCTTCCGAAGAATCCAAAATGTGTGCGAAACAAAAACAAATTAAGTAGGGGATTTTCTAAATCGTTTGGAAGCAATGCACCACTGACAGAAAAACACGTCCTCTGCTCTGCTTCCAGTCTGCAGTAAAGCTGCTAGAAGGACCTCAAAAGGAAGTTTATAGGAGGCACAAGATTTCAGCCATGCAGCTTCATTTAAAAAAAAGAAGCTGTTCCACCCCACCCCGAGAATTAAGAAAAATAGGAAAGCTCAAAGAAGCAGGGATGGCTGAAACTCCGAAATGAAATGAGTCATCCGGGATGACTTTCGCCCATTAACAACTGAGGAGATTTCTTAGTGACAGATTTAGTTCATGACAGCAGCAATAGCTGGTATCTGAGCACAGAGGGTAGAGAGGAGGGTCAGAAGGGGAAGACAATGATAGCATAGGAGTGTAGAAAGTCAGCACCACCCTCCTAGAAGAATGAAATATTTTAAGGAATATTTTAAAAAGGGAAGAATATTATATTTCCCTAAATGAGAAATGGAGTGTTGGAAGAAATGTCCTTCTGGGTTTAGTTCCAAGTGGGGGAAAGGACACTGGATTCATGGAAGTTGCTTGGAAAGAAGGTTTATTGATGGACAGGATCACATGCTTCAAGATGTTGAGTGAAGAAGAAAAGAGAGATGCTGAAAGTTCCTGGTTTAATGCTCTCTCTGGGCTTTTGANCACACACACACACACACACACACGTACATACATACATACATATTGGTCGGATTTCATGGTGTTAGCAGTGCAGTAATTGGAAAGGCTGCCTCTATCAATTAAGAGTCCTTCCCTTTACTCTTTGACTTCCTGGGAAAATTCCATGTGGCAACAACAGGCGTGCTGCCGAGAGAGCAATGACCCTGTTGATGGAACAATTGTCTGACTCTGTATTTCGACATTATTAATCTGTTCCTTTCATGCTTCAACGTGCCATATGAATAAGAGAAGCCTAATATCAATTCAGCAGGGGAGAAAAGGAAGAACCAGCTGGCCTTTGGGACAATCTGCTATGAAAGTGACATGGTGGAAGAACAGAATGCAGCTGGTCTCGGGGTGAAGGCTCTCCCAAATTCCTTCAGATACTATACTAGACGAGGGAAGCTTGGGGAGGGAATGAAAGCCTTGCCAAGCTGTAAGCTACAAAATAAGCAACGGAGCAAACAATATTAAAGTGTGGTTTCTGCTGAAAGTACTTACACCCTGTGAAGAAACTATTGAGGTAGAGCTTGAGAGTGACATTAACCTGGATCAGTTAACAGAAGTGTCATTAAAATTATCTTAGCCTGTAAGTCTCAGTGGGATCCAGCCAGGGGTGGGCTTCAAAAATTTCAGCAACGGGTTCTCTGCCCAATTGCTGGGTGGGCGTGGCCATGGTGGGCATGGTCTAGCTGGCCTCATGCACCATGGTGCGGGTGCTGTTTTCACCTTCCCCAGGCTCCAGAGACTTTCCTCAAGTCTCTGGGAGGGTAAAAACGGCCTCCCCCGGGCTCCGGAGGCTGGAAACGGACCCGTTTCTAGCCTTCCAGAACTTAAGAGAGGCCCATTTTTCCCCCTCCCTGAGCCTCTGTGTGGGCCCTGCACTTATCTTGCATTTAAAACGGGCTATGTGGAGACTCATGGAAGAAATTGGGGGGAGAGGTGTGGGGGCCAGTGGTGGGTTGCAGGCGGTACGCCCTGGTACGAGCATACCAGAGCCTTTCCAGAGCACAGGGTAACGTTCCAGTACGGTGCTCCGGAGGGCCCACCCGCCTGCCCTCCTTACCTGTCCTTTAAAGCCTTCAGGGCTTCCGTGCACGTGCATGGCGCATACAGCGCCTGCACAACAGTCCGCCGAGCAGCTGAAGCGTCATGGATGCTTGCGGAGGCATCGCTGGAAGGTATGACGCATGCGCATGCTGTGCGCGTTCATGTGGAGGAGGTTGGGCCCCGTTGCAACCGTACTGGTTGCAACGGGATCCAGAACCCACCACTGCGTGGGGCGGATGAAGCCAGGCAAGGGTGGGATTTGGAGGTTCTCCGAACCAGCCATAACGTTAGCTACGGGTTCTCCCAAACCCGGGCAAACCCATAGCAGCCCACCTCTGGATCCATCAGTGTTTGCCATCCGCTTCGTAAAAGAAACAAAACAGGGTCTCTGAAAGGAGAATTGTTCTTTGGCCATTCGGCAAGCAGGCCACGTTGAAGACAGTTTGCAGCGTCCCACCATCATGTGTCCACGTTTCACAATTCAAAGAAATACTTAAAACTGTCACAGGCAACCAGGTCAACATACAAACCTTCATTCAGTGACTGTTCGTAGTTACAACAGCACTGAAGAAAGTGGCTTAAGACCATTTTTCACCCCTTGGACCCTTGCAGCATCCCTGGGGTCATGTGATTTACATTCAGATGCTTGACAACTGACGTGTATTTAGGGTAGCTGCAGTGTCCCAGGGTCCTTTCATCCCCTTTTGCGACCTTCTGACAAGCAAAGTCAACGGGGGAAGCCAGATTCACTTAACAACTGTGTTACTAAACTTAATGGCAGTGATTCACTTAACAACTGTGGCAAGAAAAGTCATAAAATGGGCCAAACTCACTTAACAATTGTTAGCAGCAGAAATTTTGGGCTCAAGTGTGGTCGTAATCGAGGACTACCTGTCTAGTAACAGGTCCCTAAGAATAGCAAAGTTGGACCCTAAGGAAGGCTGAGTGCCAAAGAATGGAGGCCTTTGAACTCTAGTGCTGGAGAAGACTCCTGCGAGTCCCTTGGACTGCAAGGTGATCAAACAGGTCAGCCCTAGAGGAGATCACCCTTGGCTGCTCTTTAGAAGGCCAGAGCCTGAAGAGGAAACTCAAGTTACTTTGGCCACCTAATGAGAAGGGAGGACTCAGTGGAGAAGAGCCTCATGCTGGGAACGATGGAGAGCAAAAGAAGAAGGGGACGACAGAGAATGAGGGGCTGGATGGAGTCACTGAAGCAGTCAGCATGAGCTTAAATGGACTCCAGTAGAAGACAGGAAGTATCCATCTCGGGGTCATGAGATTCATCCCTCCTTCGTTGCTCCACGTTAGGTCCCCTCCTCTTTGGAAGAACTAACCAACACCCACAAATAAGCCCAATGTAGACCCACATGAGCTGGCTGGTTTCCAGCCATGCTGTTGAAAACTCAGACACTGGACCCCCTCCTTGTCTTCTTAATCCAACAGCTGCTAAACCCACAGGCTGAAGGCCACTTCCTCCAGCCTGGAGAAACCCTGGCCCCACTGGAAGGAAATTAAGGGAGTTATAGCCAGAACAGGAGGGAGCTGCTGTGGATTATGGGTCCTTTGCCACCAACAGCTTGGTCACAATATCAAGCACTTGTATAATCAAGCCTATTCAGGAAGGAGAAGAAAAATATTCTACAATTCTGTAGGTCAGTCTTGGAGGAGATCAACCCTGACTGTTCTTTAGAAGGCCAGATCCTGAAGAGGAAACTCAAGTACTTTGGCCACCTAATGAGAAGGAAGGACTCCCTGGAGAAGAGCCTCATGCTGGGNGCGAAAACGGGCTCCCAAGCTCTGTTTCAGGCTGCGATGACCTCCTGCAATGCTCTGGCAGCGAAAATGGGTTCCCAAACTCTGTTTTGGGCTATGATGACGTCCTGCAACCCTCTGGCAGTGAAGGGCGCCTGAGCTCCGTTTCTGGCTGCAACGGCCTCCTGCGACTTTCTGCCAACAAAAATGAAACTTGGGAGGGCCATATTTTCGCTGCCAGAGGCATCGCGGGCCAGTTCTTCATTGTTTCCAGGGTGGCTCCATGGGCCAGATGTAAGCACTCCGTGGGCTTTGAGTTTGACACTCCTGCTATTGAGCATAAAAGGTCATGGAGGTTATTTAATTCTCAGTTTGCTTACCTGCTTCTATGGTGTACATCAGCTCTGCGTTCTCTCCTTTATCTTTGTCCAGGGCAGTGACCTGCAACACTGCAGATCCAACGGCAGCCGATTCAAAGACAGAGGCTTCGTACAGAGGACTGGTGAAGTAAGGACTGTGATCGTTGGAATCCTCCACGTTTACAATGATCCTCGCCAAGTTACGCCGGTAGGGAAACTCCTGGTCTCGAACCTGGAGGAAAGAGGAAACCATCTCTTCACATGAGAAATATTTGCCACCCTTGTGTCCAGTTGGAGTAGTTTTTAAGTTTGCTTCTCGTGTTTTTCTCAAAAGTCCCTGATGCGCTCTAGGACATTGGAAAATCATAGGACTCCTGTGGTTAGAATGTAGTACTGCAAGCTACTTCTGCTGGCTGCCCGCAATTCGGCAGTTTGAGTCTCACCCGCTCAAGGTTGACTAAACCTTCCATCCCTCCGAGGTGGGTAAAATGAGGACCCAGATTATTGGGGGCAAGAGGCTGACTCTGTAAACTGCTTAGAGAGGGCTATGAAGCACTGTAAAGTGGCATATAAGTTTAAGTGCCATTGCTATTTTATACTTTATAATGCCTTGGTATAAGACCACACTTGGAATACTGCATCTAGATTTGGTCGCCATGGCGTAAAAAAGATGCTGAGACTCTGGAAACACTGCAGAGAAGAGCAACAATGAGGATTAGAAGACTGGAGGCTAAAACATATGAAGAACGGTTGCAGGAACTGGGTAAGTCCATTTTAGTGAAAAGAAGGACCAGGGGAGACATGTTAGCAGTCTTCCAATATCTCAGGGGCTGCCACAAAGAAGAGGGAGTCAATCTCTTCTCCAAGGCACCTGAGGGTAGGACAAGAAGCAATGGATGGAAACTAATCAAGGAGAGAAGCAACTGAGAATTAAGGAGAAATTTCCTGACAGAACAATTAATCAGTGGAATGACTTGCTACCAGAAGTTGTGGGTGCTCCAACAATGCAGGTTTTTATAAGAAATCGGACAACCGTTTGCCTGAAATGGTATCGGGGCTGTCATGGCGAGCCTATGGCACGCGTGCCCAAAGTGGCACGTGGAGCCATGTTGGCTGGCACGCGCAGAGTCACCTGTTCCTCTTCGGGGATTCTGACACACATGTGCGCACGACAATAAGCGCTTTTTTTTTTTGCCCAGAAACCGGAACAGCTGGTCTTCCAGTTTCCGTTGTGCGCATGTGCACCGGCCAGCTGATCGTCATGTGCTCCAGTAGCCAGAAGACAAGCTGGGCGGGATGCATAGGCACACTTGGCAACTTCTCTTCCGGGGCGCACATGCTTCCTTTTCAGCACTCGGTGCTGAAAAGGTTCACCATCACTGGTATAGGGTTTCATGTCTGAGCAGGGGGTTGGACTAGAATAGCAATAGCAGTTAGCAATAGCAGTTAGC